TCAATTTTATTGTAATTAAAATTTGAAGGAAGCTGTTAAACTGCATTTCCTCAGTTTGCAAATCTGTCTGCCACTTCTTGCAAAACACTACATGTGTCAGAGAAGACCTTGACCAGTGTCAAAAGCTCCACCACCGCCTTGCAGATGGTGATACCAAAAAAACAAAACAAAACAAAACAAAACAAACAAACAAGACCAGTGTCAAGCTCAAACATATGGGAATGAGGAAGGGCTAGCTAATGGAAAGGGCAAGTTTATGATATCATTAGGGATGAGAAATGAAAACCGTATTTAACATGTGATCATGCAATAGAGCGTGTGACAACAGATCACTTTTGCAGCAAGTAAGGGACAGGGAAAACACAGTCCGATGTTATTGCACGTAATTGACCAGCCCAGCATAGCTCACTGGCCTTGTCCTCATTTATTCTCCTTCCATCATCAAGCACCACAACCCCTGTGCCCTAGAGAAAGGCATAGAGTGCCCTCAGTGTAGCTCCCTGCTGCTTGACCTCCTACAGAAGTACTGTTTTCTGCTGCGTTTTGTTACCTCTTGGAGGTCAAGAGCCCATTCAGAACAGGCTCTTAATCTCTCTCAGCCCCTCCACATTCAGGTTCATATAATCTCCTCTGTTTCCATGTTATCCTCCAGATCTGAACAAACCCTAAACATTACAAATCATCTGCTCAGCCGCTCATGTTAAGTGCAAGCAATCTTTCTCTTCACATGAATCAGCAGCGATGCCCTGGTCATTTCAATCAAACTAAAAACCTCCGTGCTAATGTGCAAGAACATTATGGCTCACTCCAAACTTTTAGCAACATCTCTTTCGCTCCCCAGCCTATTTCCCACGCTCTGCAGCCACAGCAACACACGATAGTTTAAACCATTTAATTAATCCTATCCCTTATTTTTAACATGTAAAGCCATTTTTCATCTTTTGCAAGGAGGAATACAAATATTAATACACTCCTCCATGAAGTATAAACAGTTTTGGGAACGCAAGTGTCACATTTCCCAATATGCATGTGTACTTCTGCAAAGGCCAACATACGCAGTTAGTCATGAGTGTACACGAAAAAAATCTTCAAATTCCTCTTTTTTCCCACTGGAAAACTTTATAAACATATACTTTCGGAGGAATTGTATCACTTTGTCTTAGCAGATGCAGTTTTCATGAGAAAAACTCCCCAGAAACTACTCCAGTCTAAGTACACTGAAAATAAATCTTGAGCTACCAGCAAGATCAATCTATATGTGGTTTATCAATGAGCATAAAGGATTTATGTCAAGTGTCACAAGACAGTATACTGCTTCTAAAGGGTATCCCATTTCCAAACATAAAAATAAAAAAGTGGAAGTGCCCACACAGCTGCAAAACTGCTGGGCTATATTTTGAAGCCACATTTTGTCCCACATCTGACACAGAAATAGAAGTTCTTCTTCCTCTACAACTAAAGTGTTACCTTGCATTAGTTTAAAAACAAAACAAAACAAAACTTTTTAATAAACATTCTTGTCATTTATCCCTCTGGAAAAAAATTGAAGCAACTTTTTCAGTAGGAGTAGGTAAAAGCATGGTGCCACGATTCCAACACATGATTTACTCTACAACAATCTCATTTGTGAGCTTGTTAAATATATGCTCAGTTCAACAAACAGAACATGGATTTGGTTTTAGAAAATAAATTCAACCACTTTCAGGTTCTGATCCTAACATCCCTTTAACTATTGCGATGTCTTCCAATACTTCAATATTAAATAAAATGTATCCTTGCTCATAATCACGTATGCTAGAGCCTCACAAACAGGGGAAATTGGTTAATAAGTGACTAATCAAAGAAAAGTGACTAATCTGTAGCACAGGCGAGGAAATTTTGTCCTCACAGAAATCAGTGCAAATTCCAATTGATTTCAGAAGGGCAAGAATTGCATACAGTGTGTTTCTATTATCAAAAGCACATTTAAGAAAACACAAGTATTTTCCAAGATTCTTCAGAGAGGAACTATCCATTTTTCTTATACCACTAATCACAACAGAATATCATTAAAAAGTTGTATTAAAATCAATAGTCCTCTCTGCCTCTTCTCTACAATCAGGTGAGTACGGGAGAGGGTAGGAGGGCTTTTTTGTAAGTCTTAATTTACAGTTTCTAAGGTACGCTGAGAACACCACAAGCAAGAGACTTCATGAGTGCAAAATAATATTAATTATTATTATACTGTAAAACTGTGTAGAAAACACTGAGTGTTGACCTGGGCAGCCCTTGTCACAACAGTGAAAAGCCTTCAAACAGTTTGAGGAGGAGCCTCACAAAGAAAAGGCCAGTTTGTCCCTCAAACAGCTGTGCAATCCCACAGATACCAAGAGGCAGATGTGCACATACCTATTTTAAATTATTCCCACAGGATATATTGTCTCTCGCATGCTCTGTACAGCTCCACTGAAGTCAATAGCGCAGAGCCTGGCCCTGCACCTCCAAAATACAGCTGTGAGTACACCTCCTTTACCCACTCTCAGTTCAGATACGCAATGATCTTATCAATAGTTAATATTAGTCACAGCAGCCCACATTGGAGAAAAAATATGCTATCTCATAATGTTCAGTTGTTGTCTTTTTTACCCATGAGGCTCTTCTTTCCTTTATTAAAGTTGCACACTGTAGACATAGCCTCACTTCATATTCTCACCAAAGGAGCTGGAGGCAAAAGTCTCATTGATCCAAGACATGGGAGTCAATCAGTAATCCTAGCGCTTCAGGAACTCATTTCGAAAAGGAGGCTACAGGGTCTTTAGTGCAAAAGGAGAAATAAAAACCAAACATGGGGCATTCATGTTTATTGCTTGTACTCCAGAAGGTCCTTTTCATTCTTTTGCTCTTTATTTCCACTGTAACTCGACTTTACAATCTTTAACCGAATAGGTAAATTGTCCCAAAGGATCCAACCCTATTAAAAGTCCAAATGCATTCTCAGGTAAATTGATGTTGGAAAATTTCTAAAGCCCAATATCTACCATAATTCCCAAAAGAAAAGGTAATATGGCACCATTTCTTGTTACTTTTCAAGGCAAAGGCAGGGTTTGACTGGTTGAACTAGCTTCTTGGCAATCTTCTCCAGCTTTTTAAAGGGAACATCACTAAACGTTCAAAAATACTCATCAGTTATGGGCTTAAAACAAGATGGAGACTTGGGGATTTCTTTAAAACCAATTAGCAGTACGTAAATAAAAGTATTATTCACAATATTTAATACCTTATACTGCTTGACCTTTTACAGTTCCCTGCACACATAAACAGAGTACTCTTAGGAATATTGCCATACAGATGGCAAGTTTCATCATTACCAAAGAGAAATCTGAGATCAAACCTCATATACGGTGAAACTCCGCTGAAGCTGAGTACCTGCTCAGGATAATAGAAAAAGCCCCTGTTAAAAACATTGTTCAGGAATAGTTTTCTCTGAGGTCCCTCAGCTAGTCTGATCATAGAAAGTAGCCCACAATAACCTCTTAGATGTTTTTGGAACTACTAGCCCCACACTCTGCATATTAGGTATATTTATAGTGCCTAGTTAATAATGTTAATACAAATATACATTAAGGCAGATAACAGGTGATCGACGTATATCAGTTCTTAGAGGAAGGAGAGCACACTCTGAGATTCTTCTTGACCAAAGGAACTTGCTTAACTGAGTGCGTAATGACAGCTTTCCCTTCACACTTAGTCTATCTCCTCCATGTGGCAGCCACTTTCTCACCCAACTTTTTTTCATGGCTTCCTAACTTCTTCACAGCTAAAGGAAAAGTCCAACTCAAAGAGACATTGCAAAAACCAAAAGAGACTTATCGTCTCATATGGAAACATAGTAAAAGTTACAGCATTTCCCAGACTGGTGATGAAAGGACTTACAGTTAGAAAGGCCCTACAAACTTAGGCACCCTCCCGAAGCCTTAGATCCTATGGGGAGGTTTGGTTTTACGCTGTCGCTGGCATATTTTTTCATATGGAGGACGGCCATTCTGCTGAGTGTGCATATTCCTAGTAGAAACCTACTGTTTTATTCCAGTTCCCCTGTGCAGATCTTCTCTGGCTTGAATCCTTGGGTGTATGAACAAAGTGACACTGTAATTCATAGCGCACATTGTGGATCCCCCCAGACGCCTTCCTGTTCCTACATGAAATAAGACTTCCTTCGCAAGACTATGGCTGGTGCAAAGGCACAAAACCTCAGTGCCGAGGGCGCCAGGCTCCCATGGATCTCATAGATCTCTGTGTAAGGGTGGACAGGCTACCTGTCCTTTCCTTGCAAAAAACAAACTGCAGTCAGGATGGCACTGAGGAGGGAGAAGATCTTTTCTGCCCAAGAACCTGTTCTGGAGATTCCACCACAGCCTGAGGATGATCAGACTCATGCAGTCATAGCCGTATTTTAATTCGGTTGAAATGCCAAAGAGTATTTTAAACCAAAGTTCTGCTTTGGACCCCAAAGCCTCAGACGAGCACAGGACCAGACGCATCCAAGAAGACAAGTTGCTCCCCATCAGGCAGCTGGGAGCAGCCACTGTGCAAGGGAAATGCAGGGGGGACACATCATCACCTTTCCCTGCTCCAGTAAATTCATACCTGCCCACAGGCACAGAAGAAAGACCATTAACTTCTCTGAGGCTACTAGCAAACACTCAGTTATGTCCAACCTTGCATTTCTAAAGGACTGCAGTCTTGCTGTGTGCTGCTGCACTCAGTGTATGGCTTATGAATTATTGCTGTAATGATAACAAGAGATTTGTGAGAATGCTGTTCAGTCCTAAGTACAGCCGACCATGCAACAGTGAGCACCTGACTGAAGGCAATATGTCATGCTGAAAACCTGCAAGGAGCAACCACATTTTCACTGTATCCCTTATACTAAGCAATCTTCCTGATGACCCCACTGAACCCCCTTGTACAGAATATATTTTTCTTATTTGAAGCAGCTTATGTTTGTCAGGATGATGTTGTATCTGTTAATGCTACATACCAGGCGGGCTGGGAAAGCAGAGTCTTTCTCCCCCTGCCCCTGAGGTAGCCGGGCTGGAGGGATGCAAACGGCTGGAATTGTTCTTTTCACGTTTACACACATATCGGAAAAATCATTCCCAGATGTATTTCAGTGACCTGAAATTAAATTGTGCCTCTTTTAACAAGTCTCTGATACACCAACTATTTGCCCATTTGGAGGACTTGGACACCCATTCATTGCATCAGCCACAAGAGATAATCCGCTCCGCAGTCGTTGATGCAGTGGTATGACTTGTCTTTAATGGAGTCATGACACAACTGGATGTGATTCAAGAAAGGGCCCACTCTGCAAATAATAAAGAAATATGTTATAACATCCAAGAAATCTGGAGTCTCAGAGATGCTTGTTTCATTGGAAGAATCATCCCCATTCCAAAGAGACTTAAAAATATCAGGCTAATGCCAGCTTAATTAAACATTTCATTTCCAAGGAATGAAACAGCAACCACCTCTTCATGTTTGGACCAAGTAGCTCGCTGAGGTTTATGGCTCCACCGAAACAGAATGGTAACATAAAACAGCAGCTCTATGAAAACAAATGAATAAAAAAGAGCAAATCACTAAACCTCAGTTACAAATTCTAAAAGTGCCACGAACAAAACCAGATTTTCTTTTAAGGATCCTGCTTTTCTTTCTTTCTTTCTTCCATTCTTTCACCAATTGCATGCTGGAAAGGGTACAAGCGAAGAACAAAACCAGCAATCCTCCTCCTTAAATAAAAGGTTAAGTTTGTAATTATAGGACTTTGGCATATCATTTTGTGTAATTACTAATTAACTACAATCCCTGATCAGAGAATGCAGAAGTGGTGATTTTCCTCAAGAGCAGCGCCTGCTTCTTTTAAGTCACGTTCTGCTATAGAGGGGCGGGAGCGGGGGGGAGGAGAAAAAAG